AGAAATCCATAGGAAATTCCATTACAGAACTGGCTTTGTTAAACAGAAACAGCTCTTACAGAAAAGGGCTATATGACATGTAATTTTAACAAGTCCTCCCAAACCATGCCATCTTGTTTTGACTTTAGTTATATGTCTGGGGCAGTTGATTACATTTCTGACTTGTACATACTCACACTTACCTATGAGGGAATACTTAGGAGCAATACATACTAAGAGATTTTTTTTCACTTTTTAATTAAGTTTCTTGAATCCAACTGAAAATTGTGATTTCTTCTGTAGTTTCTAACTAAAGACTGATAATTTCACGGGTTTGGGCTTTTGAGATACCTCCAAATGCTTTACAATATTGATTTGAGAATTTTATGGGTTTGTATATAGTTAGTTATTTGGAGCTGGTGAGTGACATAATTATTTATCATATATTTGTGGAATTATCTATGTGGGATGTACAATGCCATGTCTCTGACTTTGAATCCCTTCCTCCTCAGGAGAATATGGCTACTAATTAATAGTTCTAAATACACATCTGCATTCTTCAGAATTCTCATCCATTGGGTTCCTTGAACTATCAAGAAAAAAGGGCATCAACACAAGCAATTTGACAATAATTTTAAATACCTTTCCATTAACATAGTTTATGGCAATTAGGTTGTGACCCTTAAAAGAATATTTGAAGGATTTTAGTATTTTGATTGCTTCTTTGTTTCTTTTTAAATCAGGGTCCTAGGAAGACTATGATCTTCCATTACCACTTAGAATTTCCAAGGAAAAGGAAAACATTTAGAAGGCTTAAAGAAATAGAGGAAGACTTTGAAAACAAAGGAAGTAATACCTTTTCCCATAACGGCTATACAGATATGAACAGCTAGTGATGTTAATTGTTATAGGAAACCGTGTTAAGGGAGGGGGGACTCATTTGGTGTAAGAAATAATTCTACTCAGGGAGAAGAAGAAAAGTCAAGGAACACAAGGAATGACCTTCTCTCTGGATGTGTTCCATTGTGGAATCATTTTCTAAAAGCAAATGATTAAGAAATCCCAGACACTCAAATTTATCCTTGCAAGATACTGGATTTCCTCTAAGGAAAGACTTCAGGACAGTGTTGCTTAGTTGCCAGCAGGAGATGGGTGGGATCGTTGTGTTCATAAATTTTCCTGGGTTTTGGTTTGTGGAGTTTTCAAGGAGACTTCTGAAAACGTGTGTGAGAAGAGAAGTAAATTGGAAATAACTTAATCATTTGTCTTGGAGAAAACACACTACTTATTTTACTCTATTTAGTAGAAACAGTAAATAGCCACTCACTGCTTCATTCAGCAAATATTCCATTCCTGTGGGCTATGTACCAGGAGTTGGTTTCTGAGTAAGACAGTTCAACCTCCTAACTGCTAACCAATGCCGGTAATGCCTTGGTTAAAAATACATATATATTACAAGTAATGTATACATAGTGTGCACTGACCCATGAGTGAAAACTCAGTCTTTTATTAGACAGAAGAAACAGACTTAGGATGGATAACTCCTGCTGTGTTGGGGAATTGCTATCATCTCTGTGTTCTCATGCTTCAAGCCCCATAATCTATGAGCACCCAGGAGGCAGGGTGAAGATAGCAGGTAAACCCAGCTTTCACTGTCCAGGAGCAACAAGCCACATATACCTACTCTAATACTGCTATAGACTCAGGACCTAGAATAGAGAGCTCTTGAGGAGGAAGAAGTGTCTCATAATAGAAATTGTTGGAAATTGGTGATAGAAAATGAATTAGGCAGATATCAGTACCCAATGTACCTTGGAATCTGGAGGAAAACACAGACACAAGCCTAGCCAGTTGTGCTGAACTGTCTTTTGAACAACCATGAGTATGTACTTCACAAATTTATTTGTCCAAAAATATGAGGCCTCCAACAATTATCGATTGGCAATAGTGAGATATATTACAAGTGTGAGAAAAGGACATAGCAAGAAGAAAAAAAACTAAAGAAATCATGAATTATAAATTTTGTATTATAGGAAATATAAATTAGGCATAATGGGAAACATAATATCTAGTAATAGAGCAATTGCTTAAAACTTATAAATCATTTCTGGAATTTCTGTTTAGTATTTTCAAGTTGGGGTTGAAATCTTGAGAATCAAAACCTGAGATAAAGGAGACTGTGGTACACCTGTACATCTCACAATTTAAAATATAAAAGGGACATCTAGTTTCATTTCTGTTGTTGTGATAAAATACCCTGACAAAAAGAAACACAGACGAGAAAGGGCTTATTTTAGTTCCCACATTCAGGTTACATTCCCCCCCCCCCAGCAGGAAAGAAAAGAGGGCAGGAACTTAAAAACAACAAGCCAAATCACATCCATAGTTAAGAGCACATTCGTTACTGGATTTAACCTTGCTCACCCTTACACAGTCCAGGATCCAACCCCAGGGAATGGTGCCACCCACAGTGGGCGGTGTCTTCACGTGTCAATACAAGGAAAAGAACCTACCTCAACAGACATGCCCTCAGGCCAACCATATCAAAATGATCCCTCTTCCCTGATGACTTTAGATTGCATCAGATTGGTAATTAAAAAGTAACCATCAGAGGGGATGGAAATTAAGACCAGGTGTCAGAAATCTCAAGAACCAAAATACAGCTTCATATTAGTCAGGGTAAATATGGTATCCTTCTGCTTGTACATGTTCAGGGTGAGTAAAGTTCCCTGCATCCCCCATGGGATGGAAACTGTGCTAGATATTGGTGAAACATAGGATTACTGCTGAAATTATTTATAAACAAGAAACATACTTCGAAAGAAAGCATACTTAAAATGCTTAGTTATTTTGAGGTATAAATGTATGCTCTCCTGTATACAATGCCCTTGGCTGCTTGGACAGGATCAATGTTATAGCTACTACGGAGACATATGAAGTGGAGGGGATTAATTCCAGGCAGGCCAGAGGGGTCAGTTCGTGACAGGAATTCACTAACTCTGGGAAACTATCTGTCCATACACCCTTACCACATTCTAAATGACATGCGAGACAGTTTACGGTAAAACCATGTGACTTTCATGATGTCTCTAGGAAGTGGGAAATAAAGAAACTCATTTCATTTTCTTTCTATGCCTATTTCACAAACTTCAGTTGGCTGATAGACTTCCCCCAGTAGAAAAAAAAAAAAACTAGTCTGTGAAGGTCTGCCTTGGATTGTGTTGGGAGAATGTTAACGAGAGCTCACATTAGAATCAGATAAATAAAGACCTTATGGCATGCACTTAAATCAGCGTTTGTCAGAGTGAGGGTCATGACTCAGGAGGTTGTGAAATTCAGGGAGTCTCAATCAGAACTTAAAGAAAAACGAGCAGAAAGAAAACACCAGAGTTGCTGTATGCAGAAGAGTCGAAAAACCAATTAATGGAATTTTAAATGACAATGTAAGCCACACACACACACACACACACACACACACACACACACACACACACACACACACAATGGTCAGTTCCCTGAATTGTTCGTTGTTGTGCAAAATAGTGGTTCAGTGACAACTGTTTGAATGTTGTGAACTGACACAATAATACCACTGTAGCCGCATGGATAACACATCGTTTGTCATCACTTAAGATCAGGGAGTCTTAGAGTGGAAATACCTCAGAGGAGAGAAACCAAAATGGAGTTCCAGGACTTGCCAGTTAGAAGGCTGTTGGGACAGGGGACAGTTCTAGAGCCCAGGTCTGCTTGTAATCCCCTTTTCTTTTCTTTGCCTGTATATAAGGACCACATGTTTAATGTATGCAACCTTGAGGCTTATTGGCATTTCATGGATAGGACAACCTGGTGCAAACTTCAGGTGTTCCCCTCTAGAACTCAAGGACAGCCCACAACAATGCTGCAGGCTGGAGTTGAAAGGGGAAAGTCAATTTAGAGGTCCTGAGAGGGTCTAATCCTACTTCTAAGCAATAATTAACTCATTAACCTAATACAACTAGATGAGGCCACTTCCCAAATGTTTTCCTTTTATGATTTTGACAAGACAAAGCCAACACAGCGCTGAGCACAGTGTGATGTGTAAGCTGGAGGACAGCATTTCCTTTAGCTCTCTAGGAATAAACAATTTATGAAGGCGCATAGCAAAAATTAGCCGCATTTTGGCAGGATCACCTCTTCAGGACTTGACTCCACTTCTGTATTTCCAGGTGAAGTCTTGGAAATTCCACCTCAACGTGAACCTTCTTACTCTTTGTTCTAATCTTGGGTGAGGGTGGTCCTTCAGGACAGGGAAACCTTCTCCGTCGCTCTTCTCCCCCCCCGCCCCCGCTCCCCATGGCCACCCTGGTCTACCCCAGCGAGGCAGGTCTGAGATTCCAGCAACTCTCGGGTCACTGTCCTTTCCTCCCAGAAAGCTGCAAACCGCAGAAGTCACTAGATAACTTAATCTGGGTATAAGCAAGAGACCCCGAGGCCTGTGTACTCTAGTGATAAACGGAAACATCCGGCTGAGTCAAGAAAGGGAACGCGGTATCTTTGAAAACTAATATAAACGAATAAAGCATAAACAAGAGCTTTGCGGGGAGAGTCCTCCCGCCCCACAAGCCCATCCAAGCGTGGGAGGGGATGAGTGTCTGGAGGGGAAAAATCCCCCATGTCCTTGGGCTTCTGTCGGGAGACTTTCCCCTGCCTGGCGGGGTGGGAGGAGGGGGGGATAGGGGAGGCTGGAGGAGGTGATTTCCTCCAGCCCAGGTCTGGTCCCCCGGACCCTCCCCCCCCCTCCGCCATCGGGATGGGAGGCGCGCCTGGACCCTCCCCGCCCTCGTCCCATCACGGAGACCTGGGGGATGCGGGGTCCAGGCGGCGCTTTCGAAGTCCCGGGCGGGTTCGAGTCCTGACCCTACGCCGGGGGGCGCGGGCCCCGCGTGACGTGGGCGTGCAGCGGGAGGGGCCGCCTGGGGGAGGGGGGTGGCTCCGCCGCCTTATTAGCGCCCGGCGGGTCGCGGGCAGAGAGCAGACGGCCCGGGCCGCGAGCAACCGGAGCGGGCGAGCGGCCCACTCCTCCCTCCTCCTAGGCGGCCGCCTCCTCCCCTCGTCCTCCCGCCCCCACTGCGTGTACGGCGGAGACACCAGGGCTCGCGCTGCCTCTTTCTCCCGCTCGCTGGGCTCCGGTTCCCACTTTCCCCGGCCGCCGCGCTCCCGGGACCCGAGCAGTCTCCGTGCTTAGCCTCGGCGGCCCACGGTGCTCCGAGATTCTCGCAAAAGCAGCCCCGGGGCAGAGAGTGGGACGCCCCGGTCCCTTCCCCCGCTTGGGTCAGCTTCTGCCCGGCTCGCAGCACCTTCTGGCTCCCGCACAGTCGGCTTGGGAGGACAGGGTGAGAAGGTGAAGTGGAAAGGACCGACAGGGCACGGGGCCAGGCGCACAGCTCACATTGCCTTTTCATTGAGCAAAGCCCAAGATAATTTTTGTTTTAAAGCTCTGCAACCCCCCTTCCCCTTCTTCCATTTTCTTTGCGCTTTTTAAAGGAAACTTATTTTGGGGTGGTTTGCGCTGGGGTAGCTGCTTTGCCCAGTAGTTGCGAAGTGCACTCGACTCGTGATGGTGTTCCTGTCACTTTGGTTGATAGCAGCCTCTCTGGTAGAGGTTAGGACGTCAGCTGATGGACAAGTAAGTGGAAAATAATAATAAAAAACTCAAACCCAACCTTTTCCCGACAGAGTTCCTCCCCTCCGTCCCCTTCACTCTCCCCTCCTCCTCTTGCCACCCTTCTGGGGGCATCTTCTGTGTTCCGAGGCGCGTGGGGGGCTGGGGGCTAATTGCACGGGAGGTTGGGACAACCCTCTCCCGGGAGCCCGGGCTCATCACACCTGGGGCTCCCCTAGTCCGCGGCGACCAGACTGCAGCCAGGTCGCATCCTAGTGGGGCCATCAGGCTGTCCCCTTTTGCGAGGGCGCTCCGGGCACTCTGGGTGAAGTTAGGGTTGCGGATCGCGGATTCCAGAGCCCAGAGGATCTCCCTTCTCCTGACTCCGGTTTCTGCGGGTAGCCAGGGACAAGGGCTTTCACGAAGTTCCCAGGCAAGACCCGGAGCTACCCAGCAGACACGTGTCCTGGGAGGACCGCGGCTGGGCTGCAGTTTGACAGTTGGGGAGGGCCGGGGACGTTTCCTGCCCTCGCCTTTTCCGCGGGCAGCCTAAGCTGGAGGCGGCTGCCGCCTCTTCCCCTCCCCCTCCCACAACTCCTCCTCTTTTTAAAGCTAAATTGAGTGCAGCTCTGGTGCCTTTCGGCCCTGCCCCCAACCCGTGGAGACTCCAGGTGAAGCTGATGCTTCCTTCAGAAGAGTCTTTGAAAGAGGCTCAGGCTGGCGAGCCTTTTGTAGTAAATCAAGTCATCGCTGAACCGGTGCGGCTCTCAGGGCATGATTTCTCTGTGAGTTTTTGTAGCCTCTCTGGTCTGGTGACCTAGTATTGGAGTTTTCCGAAAAGGCCATTGAGGGTCACTATTTATTTTACTGGCTTCACAGATACTAAAATTAAAGCCGGCCAACAAGTCCCTTTCTCAAACAGTCATTGAATTGGCTCATGCTCCTGTCACAGGAACCTTCTAGGAACTAAGGTTCAGCCTTCAGGCAGCAATTTCCAGTCGCTCCGTCTCCTGATTAACCAGCTCCCCGAAAAGTACTGATGGTAGAAATAAAAGGCGATAAGATGAAACCAGTAACTGTTTCTTTTTCTTACCCCCTCCCCCCTTCTAGGCTGGTACTGAAGAAATGGTGCAAATAGGTAAGCCTCCTCCTCAGATGTCACCCTTACCCTAGCTGAGAGCAAGGAACAAAGTAAGCTGAGCAGAAGAATTGTTCCTGAAACTTTTCTAATTAGTGGGTAAAATAATTCCTAGTCTGGGATCATTTCTACTTGTCTGCTTCCCTTGGGAGGGTCCTATTTTCCCCAGGCTAAATTATAGTGGTGTCAATATCCTCTCTAGTAGTTCGACTTCCCAAGCATTACTTTATTACTGATTTGGTGAGAGCCACTGGTTTGCACTGGGAGGGTTTTAGCGGGAATGGAACACAAGAGATCCTTTAAGTCAGACCATCAACTTGTGTAACATAGAGAAACAGTTGTAGGAATGCCAGGGAGAAAGGGGAAATGATCTAGAGAATTCACTTTTTTTCTCTTAGCTTTGTCTGTTTTGTCTACACTCTTGGGGGACTTCTTTTATTTCATAAAAGTTATTTCATAAAATAATTGTCTTCAAGTATATGATAGTATTAAGGCCTTTTGCAAATAAAATTAAGAAATACTCAAGTAATACCTGCTGCTGTGGGGGCTATTAATTACTCCCTTTTTACCAGTGAGGAGACTAAAATTACAAGTGTATAATTTGTAATAGATTACCCCCAAACAATCATTTCTTGAAGTCGTTCATAATACTGTTTTGAATCCTCACATTGGAAAGCCAGGATACAATCAACACCCTATAAAACACATATTAAAAATTATTCTATGTGAACGGGGTGTTTGCCTACTGCCTATGTTGGCTCTCATTCGTGCAGTACCCAGGGCGGGCAGAAGAGGGCATCAGATCCCCCGGAACTGGAGTTACAGATGGTTGTCAGCCACCATGTGGGTACTGTGAATTGAAGTAGGGTACTTTTTCAGAGTACCCAGTGCTCTTGACCACTGTTTTAGTTACTTCTATTGCTGTGACTAGACACCATGATCAAGGTAACTTTGGGGCTTATATTTTCAGAGGGTTAGAGGCCCAATATCATCATAGCCAGATGACATAGCCCTGGCAGCAGGCAGATAGGCATGATGCTTGAGCAGTAACCGAGAGCTCACATCACAGCCACAAGGGAGAAAAAGACTATCTGGAAATGACATGAGTCTTTTGAAACCAAAACCCACCCCTAGTGACACACCTCCTCCAACAGAGCCTTTCTCCTAACTCTTCCCAAAAATTTCCACCAACTAGGGGCAGAGTATTCAAGTATATGAACCTACAGGGGACAGTCTTATTCAAACCACCATTTTTGATAACACATTTTTTCCTTACTAGATTTTTAAATTTAAATTTGAAATAGTATTATTATACATATCAATCCCAGTTCCCTCTCCCTCCCATCCTCCTATACCCCCTATCAAACACCATCCCATCCTCCTTCTGTTCCCCAGGGAGGATGAGGCCTGCCATGGGGGATCATCAAAGTCTGTCACATCATTTGGGACAGGACCTAGGCCATCCCCTTGTGTTTCCAGAATAAGAGAGAGTATCCCTTTATGGGGAATGGGCTCCCAAAGTGCATTTGTACCCTAGGGATACATACTGTTCCACTACCAGAGACCCAATACCAGGCCTCCTAACTGACAGCCACATTCAGGGGACCTGGTTCAGTCCTATGCTGGTCTCCCAGATGTCAGTCTGGGGACCATGAGCTCCCCCTTGTTCAGATCACCTGTCTCTGGGTTTCCTCAGCCTGGTCTTGACCCCTTTGCTCATAACTCCTTCCTCTCTACAACTGGACTCCGGAGGTTCAGCTCAGTGCTTAGCTATGGGTGAAGCAAGAAAAGAGATATCTTAATAGACAGAGTCATTATAGGTTTAAAGAGAAATCTAGCACTAGGAAATGTCCAGAGATCTACAAGAATGACCCCCAACTAAGAATCTAAGGAGAGGTTACCTTAAATACTCTTCCCCTATAATGTGATTGATGACTACCTAATATGCCATTCTAGAGCCTTTATCCAGTAGCTGATGGAAGTGGAAGAGTAATGTTCATTTATAACATAAAAGTGGCCAAGGTTATGGTGTCTCTTCACAACAATAGAAATCCTAACTAAGACACCTTTCATGCAATATTAAAGTACTGTAAGTCACCTATGACCCATCATTAATTTTCTTCAAAATAAAAGATTTTAGAGAGTAATGATTAAGACATATATCATTTCAGGAAAGTCAATCCATTTTAAAGATGATACTAAGTATATGTACCCACAAAAACCAAATGAAATCTGAGGTAAATAGAGTGCCAGGACAGACATGTTGATTTATAAAACATCTTTCTTCCCTATGCTGGTATTCTCTACAAAGATCCCATGAAAAAGGCTTGATACAAACGGTAACTTGGGCCTCACTCTAATTCTCCCTGCTACTAAAATTTTTGTCTATTGATACTTTGACAAAATTTGATATAAATTATGTGACTTAGTTCTGAGTTTAGCAGTCTGTAGTCTTCACTCATAAGGGAATATTAGATGTAAAGCAAAGAGTAACCAGGCTACAATCCACAACCCCAGAGGAGCTAGGTAAAGTTGGGGCATCATAACAGGGACACAATGGAAGGCCCCAGGAAGGGAAAATAGTTAAGATCTCCTGGGTAAACTGGGAGGGGGAGTAGAAGGGAGGGGATAGAGACCTGAAAGATCAAGAAAACCCAGTTGGGGGAGGGATGGAGCAGGAGAGCAATGAAAGATATATTTTGATAGAGAGAGCCATTGTGGCATTAGGGAGAAACCTGGTGCTAGAGAAATTCTCAGGAATCCACAAGGATGACCCCAGCCAAGAACAGTGGAGAAGGTGCCTGAACTGGTCTTCCCCTTTAATATAACCTATGTGATAACACATTTTAATTAAATTACTTTAAAAGATAGTATTAGTTTTGGCAGACTGTGAATTTTGTATTTTTGAAGTGACATAGTGAATTCTGTTTGTTGAGACCGGGTTTCATATAGTTCAGGGTTGACTTGGAACTCACTAGGTAGGCAAGAATATCCTTGAACTTCTGATCCAAGTGTTGGGATTAAAGGTATCTGCTGTCATACCAGGCTGTAAAGTCATTTTGCTTTTAAAAGTTATCCTTTCTGCTGCAAACTTGGTTACAAGTAACCTATGACTTACCAACTACTGTGTGTCTTGTTAATTGCTTGATATGCATTATATGGCTTGATTCTCACAGTCTCAGGATGGGCTTGGTGTGTCTATTAAGGAACAAGGAAGCTTTGCTCCAACTGCCTGCTGCAGTGCACAGGGAGGTCCACGCTTGTTAACCAATGAGTGAAGCCAAGATCCAGGCCCAGAGCTGTGTACAAATGTCCTCTGACTTAGGATGCGATTACGTTTCGTAGGTCCGTTATGAATTGGAAATATTGTAAGTCAGAAAATGCATTTAATACACCCAACTTAGGGAGTGGAGAAGCCTGGCTAGAAGTGTGGCTGTTGAGTATTGGTGTAAATTGCTGATGGTGGATGGAGGTACCGGCGGGGTGTAGATGTTGCAGCGTCAGGTGTGAGCATGGCAGCCTCAGGTGTGAGCATGGTAGTTCTGTTAGTGCTGTTTTGAGAAGGATCAAAATTCAAAGTTGTATAGTTCCTCCTCAGTGCACTTCACTTTTGTAACACCATGGAGCTGTGAATCATGTATAGGTGCAGCATGAATACATGCAAGCACGTATGCAACTCTTGCTTGGGGCTTAGTGTTGTGAGTTTCCTCCCCAGGGTTAGAGTTTAAGTTGCAAGAGAGAGTAGCACAGAAGGGAGGATGGCGACTGAGAATGCACTGCAAACTGCCTAAGAAGCAGCCTTAGTTTTGCGGTGATTTATTGCACTCAGCCATCTGTCTATCTTTTTAAAGAAACAAAAAATAAAACAACAACAACAAAAAACCCAAGCCCCCAAGTAGGAAAAAGAACAGTCTTCATTTTAATTATTTATTTCATTGGACACTCTGGCATTTCAATATGTAGTTAAAAAGGAGTTTTAAGACGGTCCATTCATTCTTCCAACACATTTTAGTCACATAATAACATGCATTGCTCTGATGCAGTTTTGAGACTCAGGATGTGTAGGAGTGAACCCCACAAAGCTATCCGCCCATGAGGGCGGGGACATGTAAACTGACACAGGTAGATATAAAAGGAAGTGAAAGGAAAAGGAACCTCCCGTTTCTCCTGGAAGCCAGCTATGCTTCTAACTCCTGGTTTGTGCGACTCTCTCTCTCTCTCTCTCTCTCTCTCTCTCTCTCTCTCTCTCTCTCTCTCTCTCTCTCTCTCTCTCTCTCTCTCTCTCTCTCTCTCTCTCTCTCTCTCTCTCTCTCTCTCTCTCTCTGGTAAATAAATATATTGTGTTCCTATAGCATTGACTATCATTAATAAGGATGCTCTTGTGCAAGAGGCCTGGGGTTGGCTTTGGTCCAGACCGTTTGTTGTCGTCAATTCCTTTCTACTTTTGTAGTCTTTTCTGCAGAAAAGAAAGCAGTGCAGGTGTGGGTAAGTTTTAGCTTGAAGGTGATGAGTCAGCAGCCTGGCAGGGACACTCTTGGTGCTCTTAGGTTGTATTTCTGGAGATTTATAGCACTTGTCTCCCTACACCTGTTCTATGGGATTCCTCTTTGCTATTGTCATTTTATTTACCATACTCAAGTTTAATGAAAACAAAAACAACACGAGAGATTTTGACCCCCGAGTCTTGTACTAATGAAACATGACAATCATTTATAGTCAATGAGCTGACTCCGTGAAGTTTTAAAATACTCAGCTTCAGAAAATCTTATTCATAGTAATGAATTCTTCTTTGCCGTTTCCATTTGAAAAGGGACTTATAGCTTCAGTAAGATGCACTTCTATGCCTTTAACTGTCTCTTTCAATAGCCATTCATTTGAAAGGTGATTATAGGCAACACCTGGAGATACTGTTTGATTGATGATACATTAGGAATGACTAATCCAGCCTGTAACATTTATGTATTTATTATTTATAGCCATTGCATTATAAATTGGCTAGA